TTTCCAACGACTGATAAACTATGCGTCATTGTCTTATTTGTGAATGTGTCCGTTCGTTTGACACATACGATTGAAAATGACTCCTAGATGGCCTCCAATCTGCATTGAGCTCATTCTTAGACCTTTATAGATTCCAATAATGGTTACAAACTTTGAAATATATTGGAGAACCCAATTTATTGCCTTTAACTCTAATTTTTTATTCATAGCGGTTATGAACATCATCCCATGTGGTTACTTGAAATTCCAATAAAATCTCTTTATCTTCCTTGAGGCATTGGAGCTTAAAGGATTGAGACCCTTGGTAAATTCTTCCGCTGCTCATTCATCTGGTATTGCTGGCAATAACATTCTCTCTTTTTGAAACCTGATCACTAACTCTAGCAAAAACTTTGAGTCTCCTTGAACGATTCTGAAAATATCTACTTTCCTAGCTTGAACGTCTCGCTCTAATGTGATCTTTGATGAAAGAATCGGCAAGCATTTCTAAAGAATCAATTGAGTGTTCAGGTAAAAGTGAACACCATGTTAAAACCCATTTCGTTAGGGTTTTGCCAAATTTCTTTATCAAGACTGATTTGATCTCATGTGGAGCCAAATCGTTTTCCTTCACAGTTGTTTTGTAAGTTGTAATGTATTCATATGGATACGATGTTCCATCGTATTTTGGAATATATAACATTTTGATTCTCTTTGGGATCCACTCCAGATCCACACTAGGTTTGAATGAAAATTGGACTTCTTCGAGTCCAGGCCCTTTAAGATCGTAGGTGCCCCCGAGATTTGATCCATCAGAGCGTGAAATTTCATAGCATTCTGATATGTTTGAGATTTTGTTTCTCTGATTCACCTCATGTGTTTGGTCTTGAAAGTATCGTCTGCTTTGTTTTCATTTTCAGATCCGCTACCTACTCTACCTGGTTGTTGTTCGATCTAAACTCCCCTCTAGAATCAATGTCACCGGTTCTTGGCGCCATTTGATTTATAGGAATGCCATGAGGGGCTCGAACACCACCATTTGAATTATTTGAAGCCACCTGTAATGCTTGTTGAAGCTCAGTCATTATCCGATCCTGTCTTGAGAGATGGTTCATCATTTTTCATTGTTGTTCCCTCAAAACTTTAATGGTATCGGCCACGGGCTCGGCATCCAAATCATTAGGAGTACGACTCCTCACACATTGAGTATTTCTTTCCATCCTACTTGTAGTTGATTCATTCCCATTAATATGGGTTTCACTAGTTGAATTTTCTTGTTGAGTCCCATTATGTAAATTGTCCACAGGCTCATTGTTGTTGTTCACACCAATATTGAGCAAGTTGTTGATATCATTGTGTGCCATAACTCTAGTATGTTTAAAATAGAAAAACTTTAAAGCACGTTAGTATAAGATAAGCAGATCAAAATAACATCACAATTGTCTATGTCCTACAGTGGGCGCCAAACTATTTACTTGCAAAAGAGATACAGTTGAATTTGTAAACATGGTTTATAAACACGTGGATTAAATTGATCTGATTGATAAAAAAATAAAGAATAAAGGAAATAAAATAAAAATAATTAAATAATGCACAAGCCTGGACTTCAGGTTAATCCCACCAGAACTAAGAATAACTGAAAAAGCTTGATAACAATCTTATAAAGTTTAGGAAAATGAGAGAAAGAAAGATTGGCTTTCTAGTTCTAGTATTTCATGTCCCTACATTGAGTACAAATATTGTTATTTATAGTTAAATATGAGGAGACAAGATCCCCAAATCACGCCCTCTTAAAAATGAATAAAATTTCCTCTTCGATGGCTACATAACGTTGGGAATAAATTCTATGATTTTCTATAACGGCTGCACCTTTAATGCTGCTCTTTCCAGCCGGTAACTCTTTTAAATTCTCTTCCCCGATCTCTACTTCCTTGGAATTTACACAATACTGGTTATGTGCTAGTATCTGGTATTAATTATCTGCTGACTCATCTCTACTCTATCATCACTGTCACGTGTCTGCTCGAGATATGCACACTTATAAGCAGTAAATTTTACCTAATATAGAATTATTTTCTTATATTTTTAGGAAACTCATAATCCCAATAGGTTTGGAAAACTCGTTGTTCTAGTTGATTTGGGAAAAGAAAATTTATTATCCTTGTCGAATTGGAAAAATCTTTCTCTTATAGGATTAGGACTATTTGGGATCTATATATAGATGTTGTAGTTAGGGATTTTATAGATTGTATTGTGTTTTTCTTCTCATTCATAGTGAAAAACTCTCTCTACTTCTGTCGTGAGAATTATGCTCAGGTGAACCTCGTTAAATCCTTGTGTTATTTATTTTCTCTATTTGCTTCGTATGATTATGTGCCAGTTAAGCCAGGCTTTTCTGCAATAATTGCTATCAGAGATAAGTTCGAGTTTCTACATATAATCTAGGGATTAGATTTCTTTATTATCTTCAACAAAGTACGAAGTAGAGAAATTTGATGGGGGTTCTAGTTTCAGTCTATGGAAAGAATTAAATCGTCCTTATGTTACAAAGTTTATGGAAGGCAATTGATGAGGATTTTCCTAAAGAGATGAAAGAGACAGAGAAGGAAGACCTGGAGGAGAGGGTTTTGAGTGTGATCTTCATAAGCGTTACAGATAGCGTTGTTTGGGAAATTGCTTAAAAATCTTTTACATCAACGACATGGAAGAAGCTGAAAGATCTGTATTCTAAGAAATCGTTGATAAATTGCCTCTACCTGAAAAAGAGGTTATTCAATTTTCGTATGAAAGAAGGTACACATGTTAAAACTCACCTTGATGAGTTTTATTCAATTATAATGGACCTAAAGAACACAAATATTAAAATTCAGAGTGAGAATCAGGCCTTGACTGTGTTATATTTTTTACCACCCTCTTACGATACTTTTGCTGATACGTTGCTATATAGGAAAGATTAGTGCCATGTATTTTATGACTTTTATTGACGATTGATCAAGAATGGTGTGTGCGTATTTTCTGAAACAAAATATGTAGCATTTCCAATATTTGTAAAATGGAAGACGATGGTTGAGAGGCAGACAGAAAGAAAAGCTAAGCGTCTTTGGATGGATAATGGGTTGAAATTTTGCAATTCAGAGTTCAATAATTTCTATAGCAGAGAGGGCATAGTAAGACACCATACTTGTGTCGGAATACCATAACAGAATGGTGTTGTAGAACTTATGAACATAATACTTTATGATAGGGCACGAAACATGCTTTCACACTCGTATGTTAGCAAGGAATTTTTGGGTTGAAGCAATCAATATATCTTGTTATCTTCTTAACGGATCTCCATCCACAACTATTTAGTTCAAAACTCCTTTTGAGGTGTGGTTCGTTTCACCAGCTGATTATTCAAATTTGAGAATATTTGGTTGTCCTGCTTATGCTCATGTGAGTGATGGAAAGCTTGAGCTGATGATAAAGAAGTATATGTTTCTAGGGCATGCAACTGGAGTGAAAGGTTATAGGTTGTGGTGTACAGATCAAAAGATTCCAGGTTTAGTTATTAGTACGGATGTGACATTCAATAGATCTGCCTCACTGGACAGTTAGAGAGAGAAGGCAATAGAAGAAACAGATCGTGGTGTCAGTGATCACATAGAGCTAAGAATTGAATCTCCACTAGCTCAGTCCTGTAGTTCTAAAGTAGAGAAAGTGGATACGATGCAAAATATTTATCAAGATGATAATGTTGATGCACCTGCACAACAATAACTATATAACATTGCAACAAGCAGAGAGAAGAGAGTAATTAACTGACCGCAAAGATTTGCAAATGTAGTTGATAGGAATCTTGTTGGATATACAAATCTTGTGGAATTTGCTTTGGCAGTTGCAGAGACCGTTGATGAACTTCAGTATAATAGCTATCCATAAGCTATTTTTAGTACGTAACCAAATCAACGGATTTGTGCTACAGCTAAAGAGATTGGATCTCTTAGCAAGTTTAGGTGTTGCCTAGACTTGATTGATGTGTGCGGCAATGAGTAGAGCCCTTGCGAGTGCTGAGGGCAAGGGAGAGAGACGTTGTTTCTGTTGATGAAGAGAATTCAAGCCAATGGGAAGATTTATTGTGGCTTGAAATATTTTCTTGTATTTTTAGAAAATCCATAATCCCTATAGGTTTGGGAAACCCATTATTCTAATAGATTTGGAAAGAAAAACTTATTGTCTTTGTTGGATTGGAAATACCTTTCTCTTATAGGTTTGAGACTATAGGGATCTATATATAGGAGTTGTAGTTGGGGATTCTATAGATTGTATTGTATTTTTCATCTCATTCATAGTAGAAAACTCTCTCTGCTAGCTGAATCTCATTAAATCCTTATGTTATTTCTTTTTTCTCTATTTACTTTGTGTGATTGTGTGCTGCTTAACCTATGAGCTTCCGCAACACAATCCTTAAAATCGTATGATATTGGAATTAGATTCTTCTTAATACGGCCAATAACAGTTTTCACCCACAAAACTACACACTTTAGAAAATGAAAGAATTGTATGTAAAAAAAAAAAAAAAAAAAAAAAAAAAAAAAAAAAAAAAAAAAAAAGGCTTCTCCTTATAATTTTACTAGTGTAGTCAACCAAAACGCAAGAATATATATTCAAAACACTGAAATTAAAAGAGCTGGAATTCATACTGAGCAACCAATACGAAAATATCAGTTGTTTAGAAGAGCATTATGTGTATACTTGGGTCTGGTGCATTGTATAATACAAAAATGTTACTACTACTTCATTATTCCACTGAATTTATATGATTCCCCACCAATTCCAATTAGGCCTAAAAACATAAAATTTGTATTTTTTTTCTTTTCTGATTTAATAGGCCACCAAACTCAAGCTTTATGCATGTAAAATAAACTGAAAGCTGATTAAGAGGAAAGTTTCCGATATTAAAGTAACTTCTTAAACGATACACATACGAAGAGTTGGAAAAAGAGCGCATTACCAAGAATATATAATAAATAGACTCTTACCAGATTACTTATCGGAGTGGCGTTGACTTTATTCCACCAAAGTTCAAGCTGGGTATGACGATTAAAAGAGTCTATGAAAGCTCCTCTTTGTTTAGGATCATTTGGTTTAGGCAAAGCACTTAAGAATTCCGACCTCAATTCTGAAATAACAAACCAAAAATCTTTGAAATATAACTTCATATACGTGATTCATGGAAGGGAAGGGGGTTTCATATGTGTAGTAGGAAACATGTGCTTCCCCCTTTAGTGTCGATAATTTCATTCGGTGTAAATGAAGAAAATAAATTATATACAAATACTGTAACGATCCGGTTGGTCGTTTTGTATATTTTAGCTCAGTTCTCCTATTGATGCTTTCCGTATATGTATATGTTGCTATGTGACTTATGGGGATAGTTGGTTTAGTTTTGGGAAGGTTTTGAAGTAAATTGGAACACTTAGTTTCATGGTTGGAAGCTTAAATTGTAAGAGTTGACCAAAGTTTGACTTTTGTGTAAAAAATCTCATATTCATATTTTGATGGTTTCAATAGGTTTGTAGGGTAATTTTGGACATAGACGTCTGTTTGGATTTGGATTTGAAGGTTCCTAGGTTGATTTTACCCTAAATGTCGAAAGTTGGCAATTTGAAGATTTGAAAAGTTCATAAGTTTCACCGGAGGATAACTTTGATGTTATCGGATTCGGATTTTGGTTTCAAAGTTGAAATAGGTTCGTTTTGTTATTTGGAACAAGTGTGCAAAGTTTGGGATTAATCCGAATTGGTTAAGCTTGAATTGGACGCTTGGTTTGAAGTTTAGAAGTTAATCAACTCAAGAGAAGCTTAACTTGTATTTTGATTATCGATTCGTGGTTTTGATATTAATTTCAGTGTTCCGAACCTTTGGATAGGTTTGCGGAAGATATTAGGACTTGTTGGTGTAATTGAATGGGGTTCTGGGAGCTCTAGGGGCTCAGGTGGGTTTCTGGACCACCCAGAGCATTCTTATGTTGCAGAAACTTTCACTGGTGTCAAGTCCTCATCGCGTTCACAACAGAGCTATCGTATTTGCAAAGTGTTATTTGAGCTGGGCAGTTTTTCTTCTTCGTGTTCGCGCCTTATGGGTCACTTTCACGAAGAGAGTTGGGAGTTGGGGAAGTTGGCGTTCGCGTTCGCGAGGGCTTGGACGCATTCACGAAGAAGGAGGCAATGTGTGCATTGCGGTCGCGAGGGATCGACCGAGAATGCGAAGAGTTATTTTGGGCAGTGTGATTTTCTTACTTCGCGAAGCGAGGCAGTGGTCGCGTTCCCGAAGGGTACCACTAGACTGAAGTATAAGTAATGCAATTTCGGGACTTTGACTCATTATTTTATATTTTGAGGCCTAGACTTGGAGAGGGACGATTTTTAAGGGGATTTTCGTACAAGGCAATAGAGTAAGTGATTTCTACTTGATTTTGATATTATATAAATAGATTATGTGATTTGAAAGAGAAATTTGGAGGGTTTTTCTATGGTTTTGGAGAGCGAAAATTGGAGATTCGAGGGCCAATTTGAGGTAGGATTTGGAGGAAACTCGTATATTTGGACCCATATTAGAATGAGTAACCGAGATTTGTGAGTTTGGTCGGGTTCCGGGATACGGGCCCGGATTAAATTTTTGGTTGACTTTGCGTGTTTATATAAAGATCGAAGCTTTATTGTTTGGGGTTGTTTCCTATGGCATTATGTGATATTTTTGAGTTAACTTTTACTAGATTTGAGTCCTTCTGAGGTCGATTCGCGTGGGAACGCCTTTATAGAATATTGATTTAGCTTGTTTGAGGTAAGTATCTTGCCTAAACTTGGTTTGAGGTAGTAGTTACTCGAATTATTGATCTTTGTTGGTTCTGTGCCGATAGTGTTCTCTCGTCTTTCAAATGGTGAATCACCGAAGCCAAATCCATCTTGCGCAGACGGGAGACGATGATCGAAGTCAGACTTGAGTATGGGACGAGAACTCGCTCATTTTGATCCCCTTGTTGACCAAGCAAGGTCGCACTGAGACTGAGAACACCAACGGAACACTCTCTTACCCCCACTGACCAGCTANATGATGGCTACGTGTTGGGGTGATGCACATGTAGGGAATGAGCACGTGTGCATGCACCGAGTTTTATCCATGCTCGGGATAGTGTCTAGGCTATGTTATACCTTGAATTGAGTGTTAAGCTTCATGTTATCATGCTTCATGTGTTTGTAAACCTTTGTGAGCTACTTGAATTACGTTAGAGATCATGTTTAGGATAATCTCTTGTTCAAACTTGTTAATTGCTATTTTGTGGCGCAATCGCCTAATCAAAGCTTTGGTAGCACACTTCGCACATGCATACACCTTAGCATGTCACTTTAATCGCCCAATTGTACTCATAATACATTGCACATTGCGTGCAGGTGCTTGGAGCTAAGATGCTATGGATGACGGGGGTTGGCATTGAAGATGTACCTGCTTTTCGGATATAGCTACCAATTAATCTTGGTAGTTTTAATTACTCTGTTTGTATACATTTCAAACAGATGTTGTAATTACTTTCATACCAGCTTTGTCAATCTAAATCTTAGTGGCTCATGACTTATACTACCAATCATTGGGTTATTATATAGAAATTTGGTTATTTCACTTATTAATTTCTTATTATTTTCATTAGTGTTGTGTTGACTATTGTTTGGCTTACCTAGCGGGTTGGTATAGGTGCCATCACGACCAGGTGGATTTTGGGTCGTGACAAGTTGATATAAGTGCTTTAGGTTTATAGGTTCTATAAGTCATGAGCAAGTGTCTAGTAGAGTCTTGCGGATCGGTATGATGACGTCCATACCTATCTTTAAAAGGCTACAGGACATCTAGGAAAAACTTTCCATCTTTCTTTACTTATCATGCGGCATTGATTCTTCTTGAAGCATATATCTTTGATTCTTTCCATCCACTTTGTAATGACTCAGCTGGTCGTTTTGAGTATTTTAGCCCCGATACCCCTATTTATTGCCTCATCTATGTTATGTTGTGGTTATGTGACTTGCCGGGGAGTTTGGTTTTGGTTTCGGGTGAGTTCCGGAGTGAAATGGGACACATAGTCCCTACTTTGGAGGTTTAAGTTGAAAGAGTTGATCGTAGTTTTACATTTTTGTAGACAACTCCGGAATGGAGTTTTAACGGTTCCAATAGCTTTGTATGGTAATTGTGGACTTAGGAGCGTGTCTTGATGTTGATTCGGAGGTCTGTCAGTCGTTTCGGCTGGAATTGGCGAAAGTTGAAGGTTGAAAAGTTTGACCCGGAGTTGACTTTATTGATATCAAGGTTGAATTTCGATGTCGGAAGTTGGAATAGGTCTGTCATGTAATTTTATGACTTGTGTGCAAAGTTTGAAGCCAATCAGAGTTGTTTTGGTATGAATCGGCATTAGTTTTGGAATTCGAAAGTTCATAATTATCATAGGCATGAAATGGGCTGTGATTCGTAGAATCGATATTGTTTGATATGATATTTTGCCTCGAGTAGGTCCGTTATGTGTTTTGAAACTTGTTGGTATATTCGGACGGGTTCTCGGGGGGGCCCGGGTGCGATTCGACTTGAATCCGGAACACATTTGGACTTAGACTCTTTGCTAAAGTTCCAGCCTTCTGATGTCATCGCACCTACGGAGGGATTGGATGCAGGTGTGAGTGGTGAAGCGCAGAAGCGGAGATGGGCAACCCAGGTCTGGGCTCGTAGGTGCGAACACCTAGGCGCAGGTACGCCTTCGCAAGAGCAGACCTTGCCTTCGCAGAAGCGGAATTTGGGGAGAGGCCTTGGGCAGGACCGCAGGTGCGGTCATTTTATCTGCAGAAACGAGCTCGAAGGTGCGAGATAGTGGTCAGCAGGAGTGGATTCTCAGAACCTAAGTGGGCACCACACCTGCGATAGTTTTTCCGTAGGTGCGACATCACAAATGCAACTGTGTGACCGCAAATGCGGAACCACTGAGCAGAAAAGGCCTAAGTTCGAGGGTTTAATTTCATTATCCATTTTTGGACTTAGAAAGCTCGGTTTGTGACGATGTTTCGAGAGATTTTCAGGAAATTCATCAAGGTAAGAGATTCTAACTTGATTTTGGCTATATTACATGAATCCATTATTATTTTCATCATTTAATTAGTGATTTGAGTTGAAAATTTGCCGAAAAATTGTGAAAACTTCTTAGGCTAAAATTTGGGGATTTGAAACGCGATTTGAGGTTGGATTTGAGTAATTCTTGTATGGTTGGACTCATTATTGAATGGGTATTCTTTGTAATTTTTGTTGGATTCCGAGACGCTGGCCCGGATTGATATTTGAGTTGACTTTTTGTTTCTTTGTAAAGATTGTAACTTTATTGTTCGAAATAGTTTTCTATAGTTTATATTTATGGTATGAAGTTGTTTTGGCTAGATTCGAGCCGTTCCAAGTTGGATAATCGAGGGAAAGGCCCACTAGTGGATTGAGTTAGCGTGTTTTGAGATAAGTGTCTAGCCTAACTTTGCATGGGGGAATTACCCCTTAGGATTGGTGTTGGTTTTTGTTAATTGTGATATGTGACGCGTGTGTAGACGGGCTAAATGTTAAAATTGATCGGTTTTAGCTATGTAGATTCCTTTTATGCCTTAATTGAGTTACCTTAACATGTTATATTCATCATCATTAGTCTATCTTCACATGCTCTACTTGTCTTATCTCTTACTTGTTAATTGGCTTTACATGAGTAGTTGAAGTTAGTGTTTCCTCAATTCCTTATTCATTTTTTTAAATGTTGAGTTCTTTACTTGAAATTGTTATTCTTGGAATATCTTGTTGAAATTGGATTTGAGTTATAAAGGTTGTGATTCGCATTGAGGCAAAGTTGTGAAATACTATTCTTGTTGAGTTATTTTACTTCGGTTGTTATTGTTGAGACTTTGGTGTACATTGTGGTTGAGCCATGTGCTATCTATTGTGAAAACACCATTATTGTTGATTTCATTGGCAAATTGTGATATTAGGCACTTAAGGTACAATTTGTGATATATTGTGATATTGATATGCATGCGGTAGTATTAGGTTTTGGGGTTGAAACGCATGCGGTGCGATAAGGTGAGCTTGATACGTTATGATATTGATACGCATGTG